AGTTAAACTAAAGTTTTATAATTACTTAATTTAGAAAATGACAAATATAATATTGCCCAAAAAAGTTATAAAAGCTGAAGAAAAAAAAGAGCAGCGAGATTGCATTCGCGCCTTATTGGGCCATTTGGAAACAAAACCCTAGTGGAACCGAATTGGAATTAGAATACGCACCAACTCATCTTCTTCTAGATTGAGAAGTTGCAGCGACACCATGGCGGACCGTCTGCAACAGTCCTCGCCCCTTCTTCAAGAGATCCTAAACTCGTTGTCCAAATCAGTTGATCAACCGCAAAGCTCAGTCTCAGAGCTCACCAGCTTCCTCGATTCAGTCCTAGATGCTGCTCTATCAGACCCAGACAACGAAAATGCAGAAACCAATGCCTTCCAAGCTCTCACCGAAGTTCACAACTTTATCTCTTCCCCGTCACTGGACCAGGTTTCATTTCATCAAATTCATCTTCATTTTGTTTAAATTTCCAGTCTTTGTAAATTGTATGGCTTGATGTTTACAAACTGTTTGTTGGTTTGCCCAGGCGATCATTGATTCAATCTCATTTGAGCTGCCAATGGCAGTTTCCAAGTTTGGTGGTGTCTCTGAGAGATGCCTGGAGTTTGCTGAGAGCATTATTGATCGCTTTATATCACTGTGTAGTCCGCGAGACATGCTTTCAATTCTTTGTGAGGTATGAATGTTGCCTTTTTAGTGCTTTTTATCTCAACTTTTTGTATTGTTTGTTCTGTTGGGTTTTTAGCTCTTTGATGATTTTTTTATATTGTATTCGGGTCAGGCATTAGCTCCCCCAATTGAGACCATCAGGGATTCTGGTTATGTTGCGCCTCTTCTAAATGGGCTTTCAAAAGGTAACTTATATGAGCTTCCCTAATGGTATTGTTATCAGATTTATTGTATATGTCATAGATGGATTTTGAATTTTGCCAATTGAGTTGATGATAGCACTATTTTGTTAATTTTATGTTTCTTTTTTCTTTTGTTAATTTCAGTGTTTCTTTCCCTTCAGAGGCGTCACTTTGAGCAAGTGAAAGTAGCAGTTCCTATTATCGTTAAAGTTTTGAAGGCCAGGTCTTTGGAGTTGGAAGATGAAGATCCAAAATTTAAGAATTTGTTTGACAGAGCTATGAGCATTGCTAATTCCATACGTGCAGTTTGTGTAAAGTTGGTATGTGACAAATTGATGCAATGGTTATTCCTGGTTAAAGACTATGCTGAGATTCTCAACATATTCTCTATCAGAACCTAATAATGTTTTGTTCTATGCAACAGGAAGGTGGAGCAAATGACAAGCTTCGTGCACTACTTGGTCTTTATGTCTTACAGATTATGGTCATACCTCCATACAATCTAAGTTCTCGTTTCACTGTTCTTTTTTTTTTATCTGTGTTATGTATCTACCCAAAAAAAAAATTCAATCTAGACTCTATTATATCATGCCTCCCATATTTGGTTTGCTATGTTTTTTCTTTTAAAAACACTGTTGATCTGCAGGCTCTTGTCAGCATGAATCACAAAGTTTCAAGTTCTCAGCCCTTTGTATTGCAACTGTCTAGTTTCTTCCCATTTTGTGGTTTGACGTATCTTGGTGTAATAACTGGATCTGTTGTTGACATAATATCTAGGACTGTAGTTGGAGGTATATCCCTTGAATCACTACTATTCCTGCCCATGTATTATATGTTAGTTCACTCTATTTGTTATCCAATTTTAGACCTTGATGTTTCTTTTCTGTTCTTAATTTCTGCACACTCAGAGGATGAAGATGATTATATGAGTAATTTATCCGATGTCAAGCATGGGGCATCTCTTTCAGGTTTATGTTTCCGAATGCTGATTGCTCCTTTTCTTATTGTCTCAATTTTTTTCTAGCTTGAAACTTTGTTTTGCTTTGGTTTTTTCTGTTGCTTTATTGAAGTGATCTGGGGCCATGCCTCTGATGAGGTTGTTAGAGCTGCTGAGGAGGATTTGGCTTCTGTTAGGGATGAACTTAAGAATAACCAGACTAAAAGGTGGCAAGCTGTTGGCATGCAAAAGCACATACTAGCTTCTGTCACTCTGCCATGGGAACTTAAAAAACATGCCATCAACTTCTTGCTCTGCGTTACAGATGGAAATATCTCCCACTATGATGAACATGAAGACTTCTCATCTTATATGTCTAGCATTTTTGCTGCTCTGCAGGTTGCCTCTTGCCATCATTATACGTTGCAGGAGTTTCATATTTATCAAAGAGGAAAAGAGTCTAATCTGTGTTTTTTTTTTTCACCTCTTGTGGGCATGGTACATTTTAGGCTGTGCAAATGGTCATCATATATGCATCAGATACAGTGCTCCGGAAGAATGCCTTTGAAGCATTCAAAAGGGTGAGGATTTGTGTTATTTTTTCCTCGGTGTTGCGTTTACCTATAATATATGTATTCTGTCACATTTTTAATTAGCGAGTAATAGCTCAGCCTATGGTCATTTAGTAGTAAGCTTTTGTATAGAATGTACTCAACTTCGTTTGGTTTAGAGTAAATTAACATTAATACTTACTTATGTTTACCATCAAAACCAGATTCTTGCTGATATTCCAACTTCTCAGAGGTTTGACATTTTAAAGGCTTTGATCACAAAAAGTGATTCTTCCTCTATGGTAAAACCTTGAGCGCCAGTTTTTTTGATATGTATTCCTTCCTTTTTTTGTCAAATTAGACTTGATGCGACATTACCTAATGTGGGTGTTTCAACCTTATACAGATTGCAATCCTTTTAGATATTGTTAAAGGGGAAATGCACAAGGAAAGTCGCCATAGACTAGGAAATGACGAAGTTCTGCAAGCAGAGTATAAATCACATCCACATACAGTGCTTTGGACTCCCAATGTCCTTGCATTGGTGGAGATGATTCTAAGACCCCCAGAGGGGGGACCTCCATCCTTTCCTGAGGATAGTGATGCGGTATTTCTTCCACTTGCTTTGTTAAATTCTTTTTATAAATTTTCTTATAATTCTGAATTCTCTATGTTTGATATACCAATATATTATGCACGATATTATTTTATGTCGATAAGCTTCAAATCTAAGATTGCAATACCATCTAAAGATATGTTTTACAATTCCTTAGCTGTCCCACAATTAGGGATGCTTTGTTTGCTTTCAACTAGGATTGGTCTCGTGCAACCATAGATTTGCCTAATATAACCAGCCAATAATCTTGTTTAACTGCTACAGATACAAATCTTCAAATCTCTGCAGGTCTTGGATTCCTGAACTTATCTTCTTTTCCTCCCTCACTTCTTTGGACATATTGTCATCTTTACCAATAATGGCACCATGTTATGTGGAATATATTCTTCACTTGCACAATTGTTGCTGTATGTCATTTCATTGCATAGCAGTTTTTAGTTGCACAATAGGCCAATCCCTCATGAAATGAACTGACATGAAGATATTTGAGTATCTAGGTTTTGTCTCTGTCAAAGATATTTGAGGTCAAATTTGATATGTCAATGAAAGGCAACAAAATGACAAAAACACGTCTTAATTGTCAAGACTCAGTAGCTTGTTTAGGCTGCTTGATGCTTATAGGTTAACCTGTTCTAAATCGTTTGACAAGTTCTGTACAATATCTACAGGTTCTGTCTGCACTCAACCTGTACAGATTTGTATTAATAACAGAATCGACAGGTAAATATCTCATCATTGAGTTAAAGCAATAGCAAATGTGGAAAACATTACAGCAAATTATACTGTGTCTCTGAGTCTCTACTTTTTCCTTTAGAAAGAAAATGCTTGTTTACGAGTCTCATTTTTTACTATTTTTACCCTGATTAAAAATTGCACAGGAAAAACGAACTACACCGGGGCGGTGTCCAGAAGCAATTTACAGAAAGCCTATAACGAGTGGCTTCTGCCCCTACGTACTGTGGTCACAGCCATAATGGCAGAGAACAAGAATGATTGTGATATTTCCCTTGACGCATTTTGTACTTTAAACCCAATTGAATTAGTTTTGTACCGCTGCATCGAGCTTGTTGAAGATCAGCTCAAACAACACTCTGCATAAAAGTTGCCATCGCTGGCATGTGTTTTTCTAGTAAATTCAAAACCCACTTATGGAACTTTAGATCCAAAGTTTTTACACGGGCTAGCATCTCTCGTTTGTATTTCAGCTTTCTTTTTTTTTGGTGAGATAGGGGGGCCAAGCCCCAGGAACAACAACTAAAACAAATCAATACAAACTAGGCGGGTTCTGTGAACCCCAGCAAAGGAGTTTTTCTTTCAAGCAAAGGATCTATCTCTTGGCCATCAATTCATGCCACGTGGCATGATCTGAGCAGTTGATATCATAAGCATTTTATCTATTCAAGGACCAAATGTTGTTCACTTGATGCCAAAAAGAACCACCAAATGTGATTGCTTTAGACTTTTTCAGCAAAATGGCTCGGAATGTGGTTCATGCGTCCATCATCACATTTTGCTTTTGGGTAAAAATGCAAAACTAGATGCAGATGTGGATTAGGCCCTGTCTTAACAGGCGCGCTCCACATTTAATACACCTAGTCTGATTTAAAATACCATTTTGACAACAATTAAATATAAAAAAAAGGCACAATCAGATGGTTTATTTATGATTGACTTTTTTTATACATATTTAAATGTTATTTGCACTCCAAAATTAACCTCTTTCCCACCCTCCTTATGTGTGGTGCATGGCATGCGGACGAGTTTATGAAGTCAAAGTTGAAAGTGCTTATTTATATATAATAATATAATCATGGCTTTCTACTTTAAGGGACGCGTGTCTGCATATATAATTATGGCGCGTGGATAGATGTCCCAAAGTACACAAAATTGACATCAAATTTATGGACACAAAAATTGACAGACTAATATTGTCAGATAAAAATAAAAATAAAAATAAAAATACCAAAATTTTGAAAACTTAAAAATAATCAATAATACAATGAGTCATTGACACCTGTCTGTAAGTTGAAATTGTGGGGACTGAAAACTTTAACTTGGATTTCAGATAGGGTTTTTTAAACCTACAAAGAATGATACAAATTTATGATCTAAATAATTTGATCATTAGAAGTAACGAGGGTTTACCCCAAAGAATTTTCCAGAGGAAAGCAGCAACAGCTGTGACATAAACAAAAGCCTCTACAGCCTAATGGCTATGACTGCTAATTTACTAAAAACCCTCAAAACTTAGGTAAAAGGGATCCAGATCAGGTTATATCTGTAACTTCACTGGATACTCTCCCCGACTGACCTCTACTTGTAGTACTTATGAAGAGCTAGTTCCTGGAATGTGCTATGTTATCAGTTTCTTCATTGAAAGCATAATGCATTTACCCATGCTTTCCTCAGCTCATCCCGTATAGCGTTTCGGAACCAGATTCCTCTCCGCACGGCTCCATGTTTAGATCAGGAAGCAAGAAAGAATTGTCTCGGGCTGAAACAGCCTCGCGTTCACTGTAAGAATCGAATTGCACTTCTGGATTTGGAGCCAAATTTGAGGGAGTGCTCGAAGCTGTTCTCTCGTGGGGTTGACTGGAAATTGCTTTCCCTGCTCCATCAAAGTTTGCACTCAAATTCCTAGCAGGATGCATGTTCAAGTCGAGCTGCAAAACAAAATTATATGGTATTCAGCAAAAAAAAGCCCATATCAACTACCGTATCATAATGCAGATGCAAATAATTGTATCCAATCTAAAGGACAAAAGGGCAGATCCACGAGATAGGATCCTAGAAGAAAAAACAGCAGAATTCACCTTGATTCTCTTAAAGTTCTCATTTTTGGCTCTTTGTTGCTTAAAAGTTGCTTGTAAGGTCGCTATTTCCTTTTCCAAATATGTCCTTTCCTTCAACAACGAACTTTCCTCCTCTTTAAGCTCAGCAAATGTCTGAAAAATGACATCCAAGTCCATATCAGATCGAAGTTAAAAAGCCTCCTATTGCAGATTAGAAAATGACAGTAACTAAACAAATATAAAAAAAAAAAAGAATCAAAACCAATCTGGAAATCTAATTAATTATCAATTCTCATTGCATCCCTTTAAATAATTGTTGTTTGTTATCTTGAACGTGAAACCAAGTGGGTGCCAAAAAGAAGATTTGGGTTTTACCTTCTTTCTTCTTGCCCTCTTGGTGGCAGTGGTGGTGCTGGTGGATTCATACGTAGCAGTTCCCTGAGAGACATCAATGCAAAATACATTTCAGCAAATACACCCACAAAAAGCAAAAAGAGGACATATCATAAAAGGACACCAAAAACATCCAAAAACCAATTTCTTTTCTTTTCTTTAAATCTCAAAAACTTTCACCAATCCAGTGGAAGCCTGCAATAATTATTCCTTTGCCAATTAAATTTACCGTCTCTCTGGACTTTGGATAAAGCTTCCCTATTCCCAATGATGAGTAGGCTTAAACCCATTTGGAAATTCACATCATGAATATCCACGTGGCCACACACAGTACAAGCTCCTTATTTTATTCCTCACGTGACTTGCTCACATGCCCTGCTTCTCCTCCCATGGCCTCCTCTCCTCCATAGTCCCATACAAACATTGCCTCCCGCTTCCTTCCACACTGAACCCAAACCCCTCGTCCAAAAATTAAAAATAAAACATAAAAATATATATCGTAATTCTTTAAACTAAATAAGCGACAAGGACCACAGCCGCAACTCTCACCAAACCATACTTGACCGTCAGATTCGCATACCCAAAAAACTCAATCCCCCAATCAACGGCCCACAACCATCCTATCGAGTTCCTATGTGAAGGAAGTTGAGGTTCCACCCTAAAACCAATTGGCAATGGGGGGAGTAGCCCAACTCTTTATAAACCCAGGCTAGGTCCCTTAACATTTCAATGTGGGACAAACACTCTCAACACGCCCCCGCACGTGTGGCGAACTTTCAAGCCCAACACGTGAACAACACATATTGGGTGACGTGGGAACACGTGTGGCCGTTGGGCCCAACACGTGAAGCCTTGCTCTGATACCATGAAGGAAGTTGAGGTTCCACCTCAAAACCAATTGGCAATGGGGGAGTAGCCCAACTCTTTATAAACCCAGGCTAGGTCCCTTAACATTTCTATGTGGGACAAACACTCTCAACACTATGGATCTCCAGAAAGTACAAGAATAAGAAAAGCGTAATCAAAGGAGATGATGGTCCATAAAAGCCGCTGGCTGCGCCAGCGCCAGAGAGGATAATTACCCCAGCAACCCCCACTAACAACGCCACACCAAACCGAACGCGGACCTATCCCTAAGCAAAACTCACTTCCCCCAAATGGCCCCACCAAGCTTTAAAGATAGGGCCCACGTCACCACCACACCCTACCCCCCTTTTATTACTATGACCGAAATGCCCTCCCGCTGTTTGCTATGCCCATCTATATTCGTACTTTTGTCTCGACGCGAGATGCGACTTTTGTCGTGAGCGAAAAGGGATCAGATGAGTAAGCTCGTCGTCTCAGGGAAGTTTCGCGGTTTTTAGTCTCTGCGGTAGGAGTTTGGAAGGGTAGTTTGGTAAATCTCGCAGGCGAATCAAGAAAGGCAGGTTACCGGCAAAAGGAGCGAGACGAAAACGTGAAGGAGGTCTCGATCTGCTACATCACGTGAGGGATATGGAAAGGCACACGCGGGTCAGGGGCATTTTGGTCATGAAATTGTGCGAACGACGTCGTATACGGCGGCTACCGAGGGTTGACCGCCGGCGATTATCGAGCTAACCAAAGAAGGAAAAATCCAAAGAAGATAACGAAATGACGAATTTGACCTCGTCAGCATTAGCAGCTCAAGAGATGACAAACGAAACGCGATAGGAAATCAGAAACGTCGGTTTCGAAATCCAGAATAGAAAACGGAAAAACTGATGACAAGGTAAATTAGGTAGAGGAAGAAGGCCGAAGATGGTAAAGTGAAAAAGAAGCCATGAATGCGCGTGTCGTCGACGACACACGCTAAAAGCCTCGGCCGCCTCGTGAACACTGAGGCTCGTGCGGCTCTGGTCTCTGCTTATTAGCAGAAAGCAGAACGAGCCGCAAATACGAACAACCGCCGTGGGTATTTCCGTCAATTAACAAAGAGACTCGAAGAGTCTTCACTTCACACACAGCAAGCACAGATCAGCTAGCGGGAAATGTGGCGGAGGGGGAGCGGGTGCCGCCGCTCCAGGAGAGCGGCGTGGTGGGGCTGCATCTAGTGGCGGAATCAGCGCCCTGCTTGCTGATGTTCCTCTGCCGCGAAACGACGCCGTCGAATCTGGACGCCGACTTGGAGCGTGGCAGGCGGATGCCCCACCTGAGCGGAATCGACTCCAACAAAGGAGACGAGGAAGACGAGGCGGCCGTCTGCGACTGCTTGAGCCGAACCAGAAGCTCCACGACGAGCATGTCGTCCGTCATCGCCGCGCTCATCCACTCGTCTTTGACCACCATCATCTCAGCAAATGGTTCTAGAAAGAGAGAGACAGAGACAGAGACAGAGAAAAGGCTTTAGAGAGAGAAAGTAGGGTGGCGGATGAATGAATGAGAGAAGAAAAGGAGATGGGTTTTGAAAAAATATATAAGGGGGGTGGGTCAAGAGGGGGTGGTGGCGTTAAATATATATGTGTGTATGTGGTGAAGAAAGTGGGAAAAAATTGATTCTTCAGTTTTTATTTTTATTTTTGTTTCTTCTTCTCTTCTCCTTCTCTTCGCTTGGTGTTGTTGTTAGGGTGGGTCTCGTCTGTGTGTGTGAGTCTGACTCTTTTTCTGCTCTTTCTTTTTTATTTTCTTTTATTTTATTTTTTTTTCCTTTTTTAAGTGCTGGGCCCACATGGTGACGTGTGTCGCTGACAAGATTCAATTTGTCATGGGTTATTATTATTGGGTTATGCCCATCTGAATTGGGGGATTTGCGATAACGAGTAACGAAACGACAGCGTTTTTTGCAGTCCATCCGCTTGCTCCTCCACTGCTTTGCTTTGTGTGATGCGCTCCTTTTATGCGCCAAAGGGGCAAAGGGCATGAGCATGACCACTTCAAACTTTACGGCCTATAAGCATATATATATAACTTAACTTTAATTTACTTTACCAAATCCAAAAATGCTTAGCCTAACAAATATATAAAACAATGTTTGCTTCAAATTTCCGTCTCCAACTCTATCTTTCAACTTTCTTTTCAACGTGTTTGCTAAATCGAATAAAACATCCAATCCAAGCCTCTCTAATTCCACAATTCACACATATACTTAAAATTAACTCAAGTTTAAAACACAAGGAACTCATTTTTAAATCATTAATACGCAATATGTCAAGACACTTTTAGGTAAGTTGACGAAAGAAACAAAAGAAAAAAGAGAGTTTTAATTTCAAATTATTACATATCAAATAGTGTTGTTTGCGCTTTTCAAATTCTTGTTGTCACTCTTATTTGAATGAACGAACACAAGAGGGAAGCGCAAATAGCACTCCCCTATTATATTCTATAAGGTAATATTTTCTAGCATTTTATACTAGTATATTGTTAATCTGGCACCACGCGTTACAATTAATATTTTAAATTATTAGTCTGTTAATACATCATGCCGAACTATTTAGTATAATTGAGGTTCGAAATCCATAACCAAAGGAATTATAAAACTAATTAGTATAGTTGAAAACCATTATTAGAAAGTTAGGTGGACAATGTTTAAGCATGAGGGTTATACTAATCACTTAATATAACAATCGATCCAGAGGCAAAGTTGTTGCCTTTCCATAAGTATCTTACCACATCTAGTAACTCTAAAGATTCTTTGATCTTATCATCACCTTTACTTTTTTTTTTCTTTCAAATTTTAGCTATCAATAATACAATTTGTCATTTTTTAGTATATCTATCACTTTTTGTAATTAAATATGAACAAATAAAACATCAGCAACTTAATTTGATCTGCTCTGTTTCATCACAGAAAATTCATGAATGTTCATCGGCATCATTCAGAAGGGTTTGCAAGTAAATGTTCTGCATGATCAAAAAGCTAGCAAGCTTATTGATAAGGTTGCCTTTTTGGGTATCTGAACTTTACTATTAGGCTCGTGAACTGGGGGAGGTTTATCTCTTGCCTAATCTCAGCTGCTTTTATCTAATCTTGTATTCGGCGGGAAATATCTATTTCTCAATCACACTATACTTTCATACTGTTTTCTTTTCTAGGTCATAAATTTCCACTAGAAGCGTAAAACAAGTCGGATTATCACCAACGTAATTTGAATGCGGTATACTAGACCGGGTGTTACACAAGTATACGAAATGTCTAACACATCAAATACGAGTACACGCAGTGGTGGAGCCACTCTTCCTATGCCAAGAGCGGCACTGACCCCCCAATTTTCCACATCTCTCATCTAATATGTTACACAACGAGTAATAGACAATTTGTAATTTAAGTTAATGGCTCATCTAAAACAAATTATGCATACTAAGTTAGAAATATTTTAGCTATAATATGTAACTCTTGAAAACTTATGCATTTGATATACTCGTATTATCTATTTCGTCACCCCCTTTCCCCAAACCTTGTAATTCTAGCTCCGCCCCTTAGTACAAGTACGAAACGGTCTAAACAAAATACAAGCACAAACATGAAATAAGTTTTTACTAGAACGATGGACGACAGAGTTAGTATTTTATTTTCTCCGTTTTGTTTCTTTTTGCCAATGGATCATGGGGCTCGATGAAAATTCTGCAGGACCATTCAAAATCAGCTGCATATTTATGGAAACCCTCGAAATTGTAATGAAACATTGAAAACATTTGCCCTTTTCTGGGAGCCAGCTTCAGCCCTCTAGGGAATGGATATCATAAATCCAGTTGGTGAAGGATCCGTCCAAAAAGGATATTCAAGGTTCGAAAATGCAGTTGGTGAACCCAAAAAATGCAGGACCTAATTTTATATTGCTGCTGGATCCAAAATAAATTTGAGGCAGCAAGTGTGAGTTATTGGGAGATTGCGTTAATCACGGCCTTAATGTGGGTCGTGGCCTCAGAAAAGAGTTTGGACTATCAAAATACAGGGCCGTTTTCATTTGGACTCGTTCATATCATAAAAACTTTTATTGCCCAAGCAAATACTTTATGTGATATTAATCTGTCACAGTACCAACTTTTGCTTTGAAAGTCTATTTTTTCTTTTAATTTTATTTCATTATTAATTTGATCAATACACTCTAGAAAAGTATTAGAACTTAGGTTACGGATTTTATTTTATTTTAAAAAAAAAATTTAGGGGTTCTTGATGCACTGATCAAATTTTAGGCTGTCCAAGAAAGATTTTGTAAACCCAAATAAACGTATAGCAACCCCTGCCAGCCCATAAACATCGCGTGGTACAACGGAGTGTAGTCTAGTCCAGTGAAAAAGAGCATTAACTTGCAGACTAGTATTTTCATGTTCAAATTGCAAAAACTGCATCACCAAGTTTCATGGACCAAACATATTCGCACACTAATTGCTGGTGCACCTAACCCATAACCTAAATATGACAAAGCTATAAAACTAAACATGAATTAAAAGAAAACATATCACACCTCCATATTAATGATTATTTTTTTTATAAATTTTTTGACCTTTACCCATTCAAATAGAGTTCGTTTGGGAGTGATTTTGGATGAACGAAACATTTTGCACTCCTCCCTTTAAGCTCCATAATTTCTGAAACTGAAAACAAGTTCTGCCAACGTCTTTTGAAGCTTTGGTCCAGCAAGCTCATAGCTCAGCATCCAACATTTGGGCCTGACCAAGACCAAAAGCAAAACCAGTAAAAGTCACCATAGTTGTCCCTAACTGAGCTGCAGACCCTTCCACTGACATAAAAAGTGATTCTGTTTATTGCGAAGCCATCTGCTTTTCTTTACCTTTAAGAAAACGAAAAATAGAGACTTGCTTTTTTGCTTTTGCTTTTGATAGCTCCAACCAAAAGCACTGTTGTAACCCATTTGATTTTTACTAGCTTTACAACCCATGTTGTTCATCATAATCTCACAGCAATTGAACTTTCCCAGAAGTCAATTACCACAAATCAAACCACATTTCTGTTTGTTTCAATTTGTAATTCCATCAAACACCAATATAATTAAAAACCAAATTTCACTAATAACATATTTGCAACTACAAGTAAAAACTTAGGACACAGAATATAACCTAATTTTACAGATACAGCTCCTGAAAAACTATGCCTTCCAACCCAAATCTAATCTTATACTTGTACCGTAAGACACAAAGGAAATGCAACCAAGCCCTAATTTAATTGAAAACAAAAAACAAATTTAAAGAAACAAGAAAAATTAAGCCTTGTACTTACTGCTGCACATAATTAAAATCCCTAACCCATAAATTAATCTAAAAAGAAGAAAAAGCGTTGGGTCGAACTGTGACCTCATCCATCTATCTTCCCACGAAAAGATAAGGGGAAGGGCGAGAATTAAACAACACGACCCATCTACGACAAATTGAGCCAAACCGGGTCTCTATACTGCTGCACATGCTTGTCCGCCATGGACCGGCGATCCATCTACGACAAATTGAGCCGCAGAAGCTTCAGCAGCTCGCTTGCAGCTTCATCGGTGCTTGAAGGGGCGCTCTTCTTTGCGAAGAACGACGGCAGAGGTAGGGACTCCGGGGGAGGCGCAGCTATACACGACGACGACCCGGCGTAGAACCCGGAAGCCCAGTTGGGTTCCGGTAGTTTGGCAGGCTTCGGAAGAACCGGAACCATCTTCGGGTCAGGACCCATCCGGCTGGTGGATCCGAGATTCGGAACCTGGGGACTGGGATTCTGCTTCGGTGGTGACCGAACCGGCGTCGCTTTGGGGATTTCCTCGCCGCGTTTTAGGATTTTGACCTGGCCCATGACGAGATTCTTGGGGGCGGCGGGTTTCTGGATCGGAGCGGGTGGGTTGCTGTTGGGCCGGGTCGGCCTTCGCTTCTTCCGGTCGGTTTGGGGAGAGCTTCTGAGCCGATTAGGGTTAGGGTTTCGATTGGAATTCATCAACGCTTGTTGAGGTGAGAGAGAGTCTTTGAGGCAATTCTGGGGACTGAGAACTTGAACACCCATCTAAAATCTCACAAAATCAGAACCAAAAATTGGAGCCCTTGCGACGAAAGAGAAGGAGAAATGAGAAAGTTGGAGAATTTACAGAGAGAAGGGAAAGCGAAGATGTGAATGTGTGAAGACTGAGAAGGAAGGAGGGTTGAGTTTTATAGGGGAAGAGACCTAAAGGCAATAGGAGTAGGAAAAGCGACAAAAGGCGGTAGTGTATAATAGAATCCACTTTCATCAACCCCCTTTGGGGGTTTCCCACACTGGTTTTAGCCATCATTATTGTTTCCCTTCACGAATCACAATTAGGTTTCCTTTCTTTTTCTTTTTAGGAAAACAATTACGTTTCCCAAAACACCATTTGTTATTTTTTAAAGTGATTTAAAATTCAAACTTTTCTTAGTGAAGAAGAAAGTGCCCCAAATTAGATATTATGTTGTTTTTAGGCTTCCTAAAACACATTTGTTATTTTTTAAAGTGATTTAAAATTCAAACTTTTCTTTTTGAACTTTTAAATGTGTGTAACCCTATTATTTGAACCACATAAAATGTGTTACCAAAATTCGTTATTATTGTGTTTATGAGAACTCCTTTTTTAAAGTAATTAAAAAAATCTATGGATGATTACGTAATTTACAAATATGATTTATTAGCTTTTCTTTTTGCTTTTAGGTAGCTTGCATGAGGGTTTGTCTTTTATTATCGGAGTTCTAAAATAATTTTCATCCAATGTTACAACGTGATTATCATAATTATTTAAAGTTGACCCTCCTTAACAAAATTTCTCACTACAAAACTTATTGCAAGCCTTATATTATTACAAAATCTAAAAACTTCTTTGGATGCTTCTCATAGCTCAGCATCCAAGACCAATAACAACCACCATAGCAAAGCATGGGTTTCAATTTAGGAGCTTCCGCTTAACCAGTACTTAGTTGCAGACCCTTCCATCGACATGGATTATGTTTTAGGGAAGTCATATGTGAATTGTGAATGGAGGATGCTCATTCTTATGTTTGGAAAAGTTGAGAAATGAGGATAAGGAAATTCATTTTATCACCTTTCCAGGTTTTGTTTGTGGAGTATTAGGAATTAAAATTGTTACCTTTCTAACAATATCCTTAAAAAAAAAAAAATTAAAGATAAATAAATATGAAGAGTTTTTCTAAGGATAAAATATGATATTTTAAAAATAGAATACAGTTAAGTTAGTCATAAAAATTTGAATTAAATGTTTTCCCATGTGGGGAGAAACAAATTCCCAAACTCAGCCAAGGGTATGAAATTCCCTTTACACGGGAAGTCAATACTCATGAGCTCCAAAAGTGCACTTACCAAACATGCTAATGCAATTTCAAACTCATTCCTAAGCCCTTAAATTTTGAACCAAATGGGACCTTATGGTGTGTTTGGTTGATGGAAAATGGGGCTTGGAATAGAAAATCATGATTTCCCATGTTTGGTAAGTAATGGGAAATGGTTGCCTAACACATTAGAAATTAGGGAAAAATAAAACTCTCCACCCATTAAGGTCAACATTAAATGCACATTTTTATGACCATTTTGTCCAGTTCATAATTTACCACTTCGACCATTCTTTTATTTTATTCAATTCATATTTTCAAAATGGGCATATAATTTATACTAAATTTGTTTTACATTCATACACCAATCATGAAAAACTAAATTAAATGATTTTTTCTGATTATTTTCCGAACATTACCAAACATAGGAAATGAATCATCTATATCTCATCCCTTTAAAAAAAAAAAGACATTGGAAATGATTCCCCATCATATCTTTTGATCCAACCAAACAATGGCTTGAGAAGGAAAAAATGATTTTGATAGCTCCAAGTCCAAGCCAAGCCAACCCACCCAAACCACAAAGTCTCAAGAATTATACAGAGTCCAGTGAAATTCTGAGGTAACCATTTGATTTTACTACCTTCACCAACAAGGTACAAGTTACAACCCATGTTCATCATAATCCCTCAGCAATTGAACCTTCCCAGAAGTCAATTCCCACAAATTTCCATCAAACACCTCATACATACACAAAAACACAGCCATCTCCAAACCCCAATTTAATCACAACAAGATAAAGGAAATTAAGAGTAGACAAAATTAAAATACCAAATTATACTAATAAATTGCTTTGCTACTATATCGTAAAAACTTGTGGATACATGTACACAAAATATACCCTTATTTTAACAGAAACAGCTCCTAAAAAACTATACCTCTCAACCTTAAATAGTAAGACACAAAAATAAAAGCAACCCAACCCTAATTTAATTGAAAACTAAACAAAAAATAAAATACTAAAAATTGGAGCCAACCCAAGTTACCAACTACTGCTGCACATAATTAAAATCCTTAACCCAGAAATTAATCTAAAAAGAAGAAAAAGCGTTAGGTCGAATTGTGACCTCATCCATCCATCTTCCCACGAAAAAATAAGGGGAAGGGCGATAATCACACAACACGAACATTAGCCAAACGCGGTCTCTACACTGCTGCACATGCTTGGTCCGCCATGGACCCACGACCCACTGGATCGCCACCCATCTACGACAAATTCAGCCGCAGAAGCTTCAGCAGCACGCTTGCAGCTTCATCGGTGCTTGAAGGGGCGCTCTTCTTTGCGAAGAACGACGGCAGAGGTACGGAACTCGGGGGAGGCGCAGCTATGCACGACGACGACCCGGCGTAGAACCCGGAAGCCCAGTTCGGCTCCGGAAGCTTGGTCTGCTTCGGACGAATAGGAACCATATTCGGGTCAGGACCCATCCGGCTGGTGGATCCGAGATCCGGAACTTGGGGATGGAGATTCTGCTTCTGTGGTGGCCGAATCGGGGCCGCTTTGGGGATTTCCTCGCCGCGTTTTAGGATTTTGACCTGGCCCATGACGACATTCTTGGGGGCAGCGGGTTTCTGGACCGGGGGGGTTGGGTTGTTGTTTGGCCTAGTCAGCCTTCGCTTACTCCGGTCGGCTTGTGGGGAGGTTCTGACCCGATTAGGGTTAGGGTTCCGATTGGAATTCATCAGTGCTTGAGGTGAGACAGAGTCTTTGAGGCAATTCTGGGGACTGAAAACTTGAACACCCATATAAAATCTCACAAAATCAGATCCAAAAATTCGAGCTTTTCGAGCTCTTGCAGCGAAAGAGAAGGAGAAAATTACAAACTTTGGGGGCTCTTGAGAGCCAAGGGGAATTTACAGAGAGAATGGAAAACGAAGATGAGACGGTGTGAAGATTGGGAAGGAGGGAGGGCTGTGTTTTATAGGGAAATGAAGGGGAAGATACCTAAAAGGCAATTGGAGTAGGGAAAGCGACAAAAGGCGGTAGAGTATAATAAAACCCACTCTCCTCATTGTTTTCGATTTACTTTTCCCTTCAACAATTAGGTTTCCTTTTTCTTTTTTGTTTTGAGGAAAACAATTTAGGTGGGTTTCCTAAAACTAAAACACATTTTTTACTTTTTTTAAAAGTGATTTTTAATTCAAAGTTTCCTTTTTCAAGAAGTAGAAGGACCCAACTTTTTATTATTTAGTTGGAACCACATAAAATGTACTATCAAAATTCGTTATATTTTATATACTATTATTATTGGTGGACCTCGAATGTACATGGTAATTGAATTTATAATCACGTGAATTACAAGTCTTTTACATTATGATGTTTTGATAATCCACAATTAAAATACGTATATGGAAGGTTTAATTGGTTTGAAAATTTATTGTGAGATTGATAATTATAGGGGCATGTGTTTTTTTTATTTTTGGGAATATTCGATAGCAACTAAATATTAATTCCATTAACTTGTTTGTTTCCATCAAATCCAAACACGATTTACATGATATTGATTATGCGCGTGATCTGAAGCGCGTAGGAGACATATAGCTCCCTCCTTTTTTTTTTGGGTGATAGGAGGAAGTATCATTGAAGGCCCTTTTAACCTAAAACGCTGCTTTAATTCGTGAAGACGGTCGTGTCTGACGTGGGTTCGAAACCACCGCTGGCATGATTATCCACGGCCTTAATTCTTGCGCCTTATTTTTGTAGGGAACTACCACAATGCCACTATCAAATATTCTTTTTCTTTTTCTTTTAATTCCCGTACTAGAAGCATTGCAAAATAAAAACGTTTTTCCAATCGAAATAAGAAGACTCAATCCTTGTTGTGAATTAGGAATTGAATAATGTTAGTCAAAACAGATGACACGTGTCTAGAGCCCAACAGTGACACTTGTACCAATAACAAGACGCCAATTCACATAACAAATGGCATCTTATCAAGTACTGCAGCTCATAATGCCTTTTTATTCAACCATTAACATGTTGACACATATATTTATAATTAAAGATCGCTAAGTTTGCTTCAAAATTTCTGGTGCTTGTGAGTGGATCGGGTGCCTCCGCTACAGTGCTTCTTTCAAAAGGATGTAAACATTTTGTGAGATGAATGAATTTCATCTCTCTTTTTTTTAGGAAAGATATAAAAAACATAAATGCTTTTTGAATCTTCCATGTATTTTTTTGGTGATAAGAGGAAGTATTTTCATATTGTATTGGTGAGCTCTATCTTTCTTAGAAATGTGGTATAAAAATGTGTTTAGCTTATCCTTCCATAAAAATATGCAATCAATTTGGTTTGACCTTTGACCTTTGACCTTTGACCTCTTGATTTTCATTCAAAGACACATTCAGTTTCAAACCGCCCTGGCCAGCAGTCAACTTCGGCACAACGAAGGTTACGAGTCTTTTTGACAAGGCAGCGACCCAAATTCAGGAAACTAGGTCCAACTTGGTAATTAAACCCAAAACGAGAGGCAATCATTTAGAAGCCAAAAGACAAAGGAAGGGAATAAGAAAGAATCCCGTGTGCTCGAGACAACAAAAGCATCAGGCCCAAAAAAATAAAAGAAATGTTAGACAACAAACGCACATATCATATCAGTCCATTTCCGAACCTAAAAAAATCAATAGGTCCACGTGTCACGCGTATATTTAATTGGATGGCGTAGACGTGGAATGAGGACAGATGCGCCCAACCGACTTGCAAAGGATGCCTTCAACTCCAACTGGCCCGCCATTTCTCTATAACCTGTTGCCAAGCTGGAACTTAGGATGGCATCTGCTCTGGTGCGGTTACGTCTAAAGATTACTGCAACAGCCGAATCGAACAGCTTGAATTGGTTTAGTTTGGTTAAGCCGGTTTGAACAAATCCGGGCAGTTTGGTCCACTCACATAACCCTTGCATCGAATGCTAATGGGCTGTGAAAAGCCTATGCTTTTTTTAATTTATTTTTTAATAACTAAATGGGCCAATTTCTTCTGGACTATGATTCTAAAAAAGGATTTGGTCAAAGTTGGGGCCAATTTGTCTGCAACTCAAATTTTACAAGACCCATTGTGTCAAACTTGTCAGATTTGTATACCATCTGCAGCTCATAATGCCTTTTTATTCAACCATTAACATGTTGACACATATATTTATAATTAAAGATCGCTAAGTTTGCTTCAAAATTTCTGGTGCTTGTGAGTGGATCGGGTGCCTCCGCTACAGTGCTTCTTTCAAAAGGATGTAAACATTTTGTGAGATGAATGAATTTCATCTCTCTTTTTTTTAGGAAAGATATAAAAAACATAAATGCTTTTTGAATCTTCCATGTATTTTTTTGGTGATAAGAGGAAGTATTTTCATATTGTATTGGTGAGCTCTATCTTTCTTAGAAATGTGGTATAAAAATGTGTTTAGCTTATCCTTCCATAAAAATATGCAATCAATTATATGCAATCAATTTGGTTTGACCTTTGACCTCTTGATTTTCATTCAAAGACACATTCAGTTTCAAACCGCCCTGGCCAGCAGTCAACTTCGGCACAACGAAGGTTACGAGTCTTTTTGACAAGGCAGCGACCCAAATTCAGGAAACTAGGTCCAACTTGGTAATTAAACCCAAAACGAGAGGCAATCATTTAGAAGCCAAAAGACAAAGGAAGGGAATAAGAAAGAATCCCGTGTGCTCGAGACAACAAAAGCATCAGGCCCAAAAAAATAAAAGAAATGTTAGACAACAAACGCACATATCATATCAGTCCATTTCCGAACCTAAAAAAATCAATAGGTCCACGTGTCACGCGTATATTTAATTGGATGGCGTAGACGTGGAATGAGGACAGATGCGCCCAACCGACTTGCAAAGGATGCCTTCAACTCCAACTGGCCCGCCATTTCTCTATAACCTGTTGCCAAGCTGGAACTTAGGATGGCATCTGCTCTGGTGCGGTTACGTCTAAAGATTACTGCAACAGCCGAATCGAACAGCTTGAATTGGTTTAGTTTGGTTAAGCCGGTTTGAACAAATCCGGGCAGTTTGGTCCACTCACATAACCCTTGCATCGAATGCTAATGGGCTGTGAAAAGCCTATGCTTTTTTTAATTTATTTTTTAATAACTAAATGGGCCAATTTCTTCTGGACTATGATTCTAAAAAAGGATTTGGTCAAAGTTGGGGCCAATTTGTCTGCAACTCAAATTTTACAAGACCCATTGTGTCAAACTTGTCAGATTTGTATACCATGTTTGGTGCCTACAATTAATTTGGATTGAATTGGATAACTCTAGTAAGCTATAATTGTGTTACAACTTGGCCCGCATTGTTCCTTTCTCCAAATTAAATAAAAATAGAAAATAGAAAATAGAAAATTATAAACTAAAAGTTTCTGTTTATACACCCCCTTATTTTACTTATTCCGACCACCGACATTGGGCATGCGCCAGCCCTTGTACATGATCTTACAACTTGGAGACTTGTGTTTTTGGTAAACATATCACCCAGGCTTTGGGGTTTAAACTTGAATGAGGAGTTTCCCTAAGATAGACAAAATATGATTTCCTTGTCTGGAAGAAAAAGGGTTGAAAATCATATAGAAATAATATTGTACACATTCTCGTTCACCCGCACTACTACATGGAGCGGGTGACGACAAATTCCCCGTCCCATGACGAGCAGGTGAACATGACTGATAATGCATGTCGAGCAAAGGGCCATATATGGTCTGTAAGTTGAGAGAAGGTTGGGTTTTTTTAATTGGTCAATGAGAGAAGGTTGCGTTGGCAAGCAAGAGGGCCCAAAGTGATACTTGATGGAGCGAAATTTCATTATATGTGTATTTATGTCCCATTATGTTGAATATATTAATAGAAAGGATGGCAATAATTGTCCTGGATATTCATGTCACGCAATAACAGTTTGGATTGGACAAAGTATTTATATGAATTATTATTATGTGGGTCGAAAATGAAAAATGTCGGTGGTAACGAAATCAATGATCACTGCATAATTTTAATCCCTAATTTTTCTGAGTGTGTGTGTACTGGCTGCTGCCACACTGATCAAAACTGAAGATTGTACATCTTTTATAATTTCATATATTTATACAATTTCCAACATCACTGACATATAGACTTTTCCCAACACTTGTGCACACGTGCTCCACGTGCTCGGAGAGACAAAGAGAGATTAACAAATTTTTTTTAAAAAAATTTAAAATTAAAATACAAACGATAATCTCAATTACTTTAACCTATAATCAAACTGATATGCAATGCAATGACGGATTACGGATGCATAGTACCCAAAAAGGGGACCTACATTGGGAAAATAAGGGGACATATGGAGGGAAATATGGGGAAACTTGGGAGGGGATAAGAGAGGGGTCCAGGACCATCTTGGTCTTTAAGTGGCTCCGTCCTTGGGCAAAGATGACAGATTCAATGTTGTGGTCAATTTACTTAATTTACATTTGTAAGAGAACAAAGGACAAAGACTGTAAAATGATTAGGTTTGTTATAAGCTTTAATGTCAATCAAATGTTGGAATAAAGGAGCAAAGAGATTGAACATAAGATTGACACCACTAGCTAGAGTGGTAATTAATCTGAGCTAAAGTAGAGCTTCTAATTCAAAAATAATAATAATAATCACCTTCACATCAATATTCAATAAATTAGTTGACAATTACAAAAGACATGATTATGAATTAGATTCTATCATTCTAATTAATAATTTATCTCCCATCACTCTCATTGCTAATGTCA